GAGGAGTGCTAGAGCACTCGCTCCAGCACTCTCCATTTCAACACCCTCTTCTCTGCTTTGCCACGTCACTTATACATTTAAATTTTTTATGGGCAACTGTGTACACCCTCATGCCTCAAGAACATCATTAGTGACCATTTTCATTTATTTAAAAATTAAAATTTGATAATATATTTTTCTTTCCCCTTGTATCCATCTCCATCTCCATCCCTATCTCCATCACTCTCTTCCCAAACCAGTCTTGATCTTGCACCCATGATAATTGGAGGGTCAATCCTAGACTTAAATCCAACATCACCCATGATTATGAAGGCATTGATGTAATTTGAGTATTGTATTGTACTACTATATGTATTTATTTTAATTTAATAATAATGAAGCATTCATCTACAATTTCCCGTTCCCAGTTAAGTCCTTAAAATCATCAGTAATAGAGGAGCCATTGCTAAAGGGTGAGTGTTGGAGCGAGTGCTCCGAGCACTCCTCCCGTGATAAATTTAGCTTAGGAGGACTGCTACGTGCAGTGGCCTTTCTTTGCACTCTCCAACACTCTCTCATGTAAAATAGTCACGTAATAAACTTTAACTCACAATTCAAAGTTCTCAGTTAAAAAAATTCACGTGATTATTTTATATGAGAGAATATTAAGAAGATGCAGAAAAAGACGACTGCATTCGGCAGTTCACACTGACACGGCGCGATGACATATGTCCAAAGAATCGTTTTGACTTTCTAATCGAGAGTGGGTTGGCTGGCCTGCACAAACTATTTACAAATTAAATAATTGAGCAGCAGATCATTAACTTGCTTTCAACTTTGAAAGCAGATCCATTACCATCCTTTTCCTTCGATTTCAATTTTAACCAGTCTGCTGGTTCCTATTTTTCCAAGAATGGCAGATGCGCTTGTTTCCCCATATCTTGGGGAAGCTAGCAACAATCATCTCCAAAGAGGCAGAACGAGAGGTTAAACTGGTCACTGGTGTTGAGAAAGAAATCAACAAGCTCAGCAGCAATCTTGAGTCCATCGAGGCTTTGCTTCAGGATGCTGACGAAAGGCAGATCAAGGATAGAAGCATCCGGAGTTGGTTGACCAAGCTTAAAGACGTATGTTATGACATGGAGGATGTGTTGGATGAGTGGAACACTGCTCTATTAAAGTTCGAAGTTGATGAAGCAGATCTGGAAAACTCTGATCTTTCCAAGGGAAAGGTATGTCGTCC